ATCAAGAAATTTTAATCATATACATTTCACATGTAAAGTGTTGGTAAATATCGCGGAATTAGGATTTCACGTAAACAGTAATTTTGACTGACGCGGCAGTGTTTGAAAATTAATTTACAGTAGACTCATTACAGTAACGAATTATTTGCATAAACATTCATGGCATGTAAGGGGAACATCGTTAATTGGATAATGTTTTTGAGGCGTTTTTTTCCGAATTCAATGGATCATCGTTTCGAGATGATGTATGATATTGGTTTTCAGCCAAAGAAATTTAAATTTTTTAGGGCAAGAAGATCTTGTATATTCTCATTTAATTTTCGGTTTCAATCCAGCGTAATTATTCATCAGGGTAAACCGTCGATTATTTCTCAGTCTGCTAAGAATACTCCGTAGTGGATAATCTCCTTGAGCCATCTGTATTTCTGTTGTTCACAATGGACTGCTTATAATTCTGGATATTTTAAATTTCATTGAGTTGTATCTGTTAAAATTATTCTCAATTACACGCCTTCCATGATCGAACATACAGAGTACAGAATTTGCTCATTGAAACACAGATCTGAAAAAAGAAAAGAAGCCATCAAGAATAACAGCACCAAAGGTAAGTTTCCATTGTGTAAAGTTTCTAGCCTCCAGTTTGTGTTTGTTGCCGTTCTTAAAGAGGGTTTCCTGTTTGTTTTGTTATGTTGCAGGCCCCGCTCATATCCTGTGCCTCAACGTGGCGAGCGGGTGAAACAAGGAACGGTGCATGCCCAAAATTGAGGTCGTTGTTACATCGACTACAAAACTTGATTTTGGAAACCATTGGTGTTGCAAGTGTATGGTTATATTTTCTGATGTTGGCATTATAATTGGCTTTGACGTTTTTATATTTATTTCATAACAACGCATAAGCACCTATTAGTTCCCCCCTGTTCGTCTGTAATTGATCTTCTCCAGATGGAATCGTTTTCTTTTAATGAAATTTGAGTAGTTTGTACCCCTTAATAAAACGTATATAGTAAATTAAATTTTAGGTTACACGGATATGCCCTCACTTTTTGTATGAACGTACGTGTGATCGTAAATTTACATACTAAAGACATGTTTCAACATATATTGCATTTTTATGTTTATATTTTAATATGTGAAATGCACATAAAACAGTATCTACTGCAGATTCTAAAATTAAAAATGCAATTTGCAGGTAGGTTTTTTAATTTGGTTTTGTTAACCTGTAATGAATTTGATCTTGACATTAGAATCGTGTTTTGTCCACACACGAAGTCTGTCTGTAGGTGTATTCAATTAATTATAAATCGAGCAGATGATTAGGTATTATTCCTAAACCAATGATTTTATCATTACCGAATTTTACATAAGATGTATTATGAGTAATTTATGGATCATATAACCTTCATTTAAGACATTTTTGTCTCCGGGTGAACACCTTGCGAGATCCTAAAATGTAGTGGATCATGGAACAAACCAGTGTCAATGAAAGTTGCAAATTCTCGTACAGTAGCAATGAATTACGCAGTAACTTTTCTCAGCACCTACCAAAGGAATAAAATATATATATATAACAGTCACACGTGAGTAAAGCAGATCCTGAAATTTAAATATCTACACAACATTTTATACATGTATACCATACTAATTTTAATACTGGAATTAAAATTTTACATTCCACTGATCTTTCATATTAAAAGTCAAGGATGTGGAACATTAATGTTAACACTTGGTAGACTAATTACCAAATAGCACACTTTTGTATTTATTTACATAAATATTTACAGTACTTAGTAATTTCCACTATAGAGTAGGAATGAGATAAAAGATAATCTCTAATTGCTGGCTTACTTTTATATAATGAGATACACTTTTAATGCTATTTGGAAGAGTAATGAATAATTTTATCCCAGCATAGTATCTTTCTCATAACTAGTGAGGTTAGCGTTTACCTGATGGAGATTATGCTTATGCCTTGTATGTCAGAACTTGTTTGCAATTTCTTTTTGTAGTAATCACGATTCTGTTAGTTGCAGACGGACATGATGAAACTAATAGGTGGTCTTCAAAACACAAAACAAGGGCTATTATTCTGGTTTCATGTCACTGACTCTCTAACACACAAAAGTGTTAACTGTTTATTTCTATCAAGGTACAGAAGAAATTTTTTTACAGGTACCCAAAAATATTCTACATGCTGAAACAAAGATTGCTGTGTCATGTACAGATTGAAGTAGAATCATATACTTGCTTTTAAATCACTGTTTTCTGACCACATATATATATGTTGGAAAAATCTTTATATTTCTTATTTAGTCAAGTAAAGGAATGCATCGTTCCTTGGCCAAACAGGACAAACTTGCTAAAATGCTATTTTAAAATAATTTCCCTTCCCATAACCTTTCATTCAGAAATGTACCAACAAATACCACAGAGTTAAGTCATTAGGTTATAAAATAAATTATTGCTGTCATACTGCCCGATGAAATGAAATAATGTCATTGAAGTCTTAATACTAGTCAAACAATGTGCACACAGACATCGGAACTGATTTGATTTTTGGAAGACAATATTTGATTAATTTTGGCAGTGAATATTATTTTGTGTATAGGGCTCAGCAAGAAGTTAAGTGGTATTATTAGTCTGTCCTCTTTGTTGCATTCCTATGTGGGTATATCATCACTGACTCTATGAACATTATAAGTGATTACATAGGAACATATATTCCATGTGTTGCAGTGTTACATTGCTTTAGAGATCTTTAAATATTTACAGAATGGATATGAGACCATCAAGGTATTAGGAGCAGATGAAATTAAATATAAAGCATCAACGCCAGGCAAATGGAGTATTATGTTGGTGTAATCATAATCGCCGTCATGTGTTTACTATGCAGCCAAAATGCACTTCATAAGCAGGCACGAAACCCCAACAGATGGACAAGAATTTAATATGTTATACTACGTATAAAGTACTGCTAAAATTTTGTAATAAGAAATGTGTGTATGTGTTCCAAATACATATATATGTTCCATAATGTACAGTGTCGAACAAAACATTTCTATCAATAAAATACATAAACAAATAATAAAAAATATATAAAACTACCTAATTATTATTATACATCAGTTCAGTGGTATAACATTCCCGTGCCATACTACCGAATCTAGAAATATGTACTTCTGTTGACCTAGTTCACTCACCCAGTCACGGCTGAAGAATATATCTTGAGTGACAGGATGAACATACGCAAAGCCAGTTGCCAATACAGTTTTCAGAAAGCTCCTGGCAAATAAATAACAAATCTCACAATGAACTTCCCATCTTGCCATTATTCCTTAATGGCCAATATACCAGGAAATGAAGTGACAGAAATCTGATATGTTGCAGACCACATCATTTTACGATAAAATCATGAAATGGTAAATTCTCCACATAACCATTTCATGTGTAGCCCCACCAATACTGCCATCTTTGTAACCAAGTTTCTGTAGATGTGAATGTCGCTGATGACTGTCACTGACAACGGCTAATGAATGGTACATGCGACAAACAGACCATAAAATTTATTATGAAATAAGAATGAAAAAACATGTTAACGTATGCTTGAAAACAATAACAGCACTGATGGCGGCGTAAGACAATATACACATGCCTGTAATGTGATGATATAACATACCACGTAATATACAACATATAAAATAACAAGTTCAATGAAACAGAGTAGATTTACAAAATATCTGATGGTTTTAGGTTTTTTAAACAAGGCTCGGACAAAGTTAATTTATCTATCTTTGGCTTCGTGTAAAATTTAACAGTCTCTGAAACACTGGTATATATCTGTAAGTCCACACAACATTACAATCCAGAATACCAACATCAACATCTTCACCCTAAGAACTTCAAATCTCACATTAAAGTTTGACTTTAGTATGAGGTTTCAAAGTCAAAACATAACAGCAGTTGAAGATTGCTGTCTTCTGGGTTGTTACGCCATGTAGTCTGCTGTATTTCCACAGTTTCAGAGGTCATACTGTCTGCGTCATCACGGCGATCGCTGCACGGCGCAACAACCCAGAAGACGTCAATCTTCGGACTCACCGCTGTGAAAACCTCAAATCCTACATAACAGCAGTTATTGGGGAGGGGGGGGAGACCTCCTACAATGTGCAAAAGTTCTGTTGATTGCATAATCATTATTTTGTGTAACATTTTGTTTGAAATGAATACAATAAATCTCAAATTTGTGTAAGGGATGTTAAATACATACAAACAATTTTCATAATATCAATGTGATATCTCACTGAGAAATCCTGATCAACTGCTGTGAATAATCTGTGTTTAAAAATGTATGTGAAAATTACTCTCGCTGTCTCATTCAATAGTCCAAATCTACACCAGTATGAAAACCTGAAATGTCACATAGTTTCTGAGAAATTTCACAAAAATTCAGTTTGAGCACAAAGACTACATGATAAACTGAAAAAGTTTTTTTTTTTAATAGGACAGAGTTCACAAGTGGCTGAAAACAAGTTAAAGAGGTAGAAATGGCTTAGCTTTTAGAATGTATGAGAGGAGTAAGTATTCCATGCAATAATTTAATAATGAAAATAATACGGAAAAGGTTATTTCATAACCACTGCCACCGGGTGCAGACCAAATTGCAGTAAATAAATCATAATAATAACATGCTTGGAACCCTTCGTGTCAGACAGACTGTTCAAAAAGACGTTCAGAATTCAGGCCTCTTTTGATACAGTACTTGGCAAAGTCTCTGCATCTTCTAACTCAACATAGATACTCTTTTTTCTAGGGTAATATTATTTGAGATGATAAAAGGAAACATAAAATTCCTTTTCTTGCTCAGCCCACAGACTTTTTTGTGACCTGAAAACCTCATACCTGTGAATAATGAATCTTGATGGACTTAATTATATACAATTCATGAGATTTATGCTACCATACAACATGATCATCTGCATATTTGATCCCTGAAACTTCAGGGATTCACGGATCGTCGTCCTCCTGGTAAATGAATCTGACCGTGCAAATCTCCGCTACCCATCCATCAACCCTCCAGCTGTGTTACAGGAAGACTGACCTCAATACGTGTGATGTTTCTCAGTTTATTTCTAAGCCATGAGGAAATATAAAGGGCAGGCTGACAAAAATCGTGCTAATATTCGTAACATTTCTCGCTGCCTGTAACTGAACAGTGACAGTCCTTAGTCGTGACGTCCAGGTTTGCTCGTAGCCGCAGTAATGTAATAATAAAACGGAACCAAACAAACGTGGTGCATGTTATTCTATCTTAAACCCAACTACACCTCACGCACTTGTACAGCATTAAAAGAAAGATGGACAAGAACTTCTGAGTCCAGTGTAGACATTGTAACATGAGGTACAATGTTCTCAAAATGGAATGTGCGATGGTATTGATATGTCCACAGCAGTTTCTATAGCTTTTTTAATTTTTGAAATAGGCCATTAGCACTTTCTTATAGCTAGTCGATTATTAATGAGTAGTAATTGTGAAGTCATTAAAACTGAAATAACGTATTGAATATTACAGCAGGGCTTTTGCTGGAGGGTCAACATAAGGAGAGTGTGAAAACAAAAAATATTCTTGACTAAATATCTGTACAAAGTCTACCTCCAGTGCCAACAACATGAAGGAGATATGGGCCCAGTTTTCATTACATGTAGTACAGGCAGTGTAAAATTATAGTGTTACATGTTGTCGTGGTGCTGTGACTGAAGCTTGTGAGAGTCGTCGCTCACAAATATGATCCTACAGTTCAAAATTGTAGTGCCACGTTCACGTTAACAGCATCACAAATTCCACTTGGAGATGTCACTCGAACATTTCACGAATAAAATACTCTGTAGCTGTAAAGAATGAAATTAAGCATTATAGCCATTTTGAAAGCCATCACGTGGCATATTTTCTCTGAAAATAAGTGAAAATTCTAGACAAAATGAGAGGGAAAACAATAATTGAAATCAGTTACTGAAATGTATTAGTGGCACTAACATAATTATGTATGCCTGCGCTACATGTTCATCATAGACATGCTTCACGTTCTCAAGACTATTCAATGCAGTCTTGTTGTGTAAAGCGAAGTCCTGAGCGACACAAAACTAGGTCCAAAATTAGCTAATGGCACTGGGGGTTAGCACTGTGCATGCATGGTTTCATTCTGCTTCCTAGTCTGTCTGCGAGGCTTAGTGGTAGTCATGTGGCGGATTCCCATAGAAGAATTCGCGTTACTCCAGTCACCTGTTGAAACTGTTGCACGATAGTGCTTGGTGGACGTCTTGTTGAAAATCGGTAGCAGTTCGTTGGCTTCATTTGACAGGGCCTGCAACGCGCAATACGAAATAATTTCGGAGCCGCCAGACACTATCACAGATATGCATCAGTCGTACTGAATAGTATCATCTTATATGACCTATCTGGGAACATGATATAAAATTAACTAAGGACTGCCAACTACTGAAATCAAGAAATGTTGACGGTCATTATCATCTTTTTCAGCACTATCCACAATATCTGCATGCACTTATAACAGTTTCTGCGGACAATGCCAACAGGTGTCCACCCATGTGTATTCCCACTTTCAGCCCTGGTAACAAGGAATATGAAATGACAGGGAACAGGTGTCATGACACCATACCTTCATGTAGATGATGGTGTCTGTCCCATAGCCTTCACATGACAGCAAGATGAGGTCGCCATGGAAATAGCGAGCGTAGAGACGAGCGATGGGGAGGCCATACCCATATCCTGTAACACAGAAAACAGTCTTGCCACTTCATGACTGGTACTGTTTCAAGTGTACAGATTATGTAGCACTAAATGAGATGGGATGATCATTAATCATAGATCACATGCTAATATAAATCCATCAGATGCAAATGGCTACAGATGATGATGATGGCTAAAGAGATTTAATTGAAAGGTAGGAAAATGGAATATTTGCTTGCTTTACCAGCACTAAAACTGTTCCAATGAAATGATAGGAGACTGGGTACCTACCGGCCAGTGGTACAGTGTGGGCATCGGATTTGGGAGGCTGCGGTGCAGTGGAGTACATGTAGTTGAAGAGCAGATCTGTCTGACTGCGGGGAATGCCCCCACCTAAATCTGACATCTGTAACAAGAATAGTATATATTTCAGTACAAAGGCCAAGAATTAAAATTATTTTTTTTTAAGATCTTAGCCTGGGTGAGGGTTGCTAGAGTGAATATTAACACATATATACGTACATCCCACAAATTATGGAAATGTCGGGGGTCACGACACACAGGAAGTGTTATTGGTACCTTGACACAGATGTCCTCTCTGCCTCTTACGACGGTGACCTCTATTGGAGGATGGTGCTCCGCATTCGAGCCGTGGTGCTCAATGACAGCCCGCATTGAATTTTTGAACAGCTCAAACAGCATGTGGTAGAGGTGTGAGGGGACATACACTATCTTGATTGGCACACCATGTTCGAGCTCTGTTGAGAACAGAACAGTCAACAAAACTGATTAATTATGTTCATTAATGACACTATCAGCTGTACGAAGCTGCATTATAAATGGAAGGCAGAGACAAATGCTATGCTTGAAGAAAGAGTTCTAACTTCGGTAATGGGCAAACGGTGAATTTCTCTCATTAACCATCAGTTGTCAACAATATCCATTGGTATTTCAGCAGTCTTGTGATAAGAAGGTCTCTTTTCTTTCGAACCCTTTGATAAATTATTTCTCCTCCATGTGTGTCAACTATTTCATTACGCTATTTTATTAATTTATAGTCACTTGGTCTTCTACAGTGTTTTCAAATGAATCCAGTTATCCAAGAATAACATGATCATACAAAACATCCCTATGATGGGTCTGTGAGCAACAGGCTTGCCAGCAGAGTCAGAGTATCACTTGAATTTCCCCCCAAAATATATCTGGAATGAATACTCTTTTCAGTCCATATTGACATGGAATGAGTCAGTTATTTCTTTCCTCGATTTGTTTAATCTGTGTGAATTTAATGGCTCTAAGGCACTGAGAGAGAAGTGACAACAGTTCTGAATGATGAGGTGTTAAGAATTTAAGAATGTGATAGAAAAATAGAGGTTTTTTATAATGAACATGAAATGTCATTGAAGGGCCTTAAATGTAAACACCTCAGTCAGTACACCTGGTACTCCAACCACAATCTTTCAGCTGGAGAACTTCTGAAATGTTGGAACTTCATTTAAACACAAATCAGCCAACAGACTACGAAGACATTCTTAAACCTTTATCATAAACCTCCATACTGCAGGGCTGCCAATGAGGTTTTAATACTAGAGTTAACAGTTTAGTGGTATATTACTCTGATGCGCATATAAAGGCAGCTGCGATGCTCATTCGCTGTGATGTACAGCCAGCTGGAATATTCTATGAAGCATGGATGATAAAGGTTAATTAAACACGAAGACAGATTAACTTAGCAGTAATATTAGTGCTCGTGTTAGGGCTACATTAAATCACACACTATATGGCAGCTGTGGTCATCTAATAAAGGTTAGATATTCTACGTCAGTGGTCCCCAACCTTTTTGTGCCTACGGGCACATTTGAGAGGTTATGAGATTGTGGCGGGCACCAACCAATTAACAAAGCCAAATTTCCTTTTCTCTGGACAAATAAGATATGGACACCAAATAATACACAAAACAACACGACGTTTAATGATACAAGAAACCGTGCAATCAAGAATACGTAGTTTTATAAGTACAATTATTATTACTCAAGTGGGAAGTTAGTGCGATGTTTGGCGCTGCATTTCATCGGCCAGTTTTTCAAATTTGGGAGTGTAGGATGATGTTGCTGCTCGCAAAAAATCGTCAAGACAGGCGTCAGTAAGTCGAGATCTGCGCTTTGATTTTATGATGTTCGTGGTTGAACGGCCTTCATTATTCAGTATGACCTCTTTCTGTAACAACGATGGCATTCAAAAAAGCCTTGGCGCCCGCGGGCACTGCGTTGGGGGCCACTGTTCTACACTATCACATAAACATTACCTGAACTTTACAAAGTAAAATGGATGAGTAGCACAGGTAAATTCTACACTCTGCCAAACAGATTAGAGCAATTAAAAATGCATACATCAGAAAGCACTCTAGCAAACATACTGGCAAGGTTAGGGAGGTGAAAACTGCGGTACCTGAACCCTGGTCATGGCACTCCTGTGTGCCATCTAGCTCACCATTCGCCACCAAGCCTGTGACACACATTGCATATCATCAGCTGACACATTTTTCATATTTTGAATGGCTACCTCATACATCACTTACAACTTCGTCATTGAATTAAACCCCGAGTCTCTCAAAATCTTCATAACCTAGTTTAATTAAATCCATTGCGTCTTAGTCTCCAAAAGATGTTCTTTCAGTCTGAGGTGCCCATGATACTAAAGACATCAGTGCTGGTCTTCTGGGTTGTAATGCCATGTAGACCTGTAGGTTGACACCAACATTCCAATGAACAGGCTACCTCCATCTTCAGTTACAACCCAGAAGATAAACACTGACAAAATGAAACTATCGCTATACAAGCGACTGACCATTGTGTTCCTTGACTATGAGGTCTGGTGAAGCGAGGTAGTACTGGTCACATAGAAACCTTGCATTCTCGTACGCATCCTTCACGACACCTACCAGGTCACACTGCGGGTCAATGCAGCCCACATGACGACTGTCATTTAGCTGTCCACCAAACAACAGCGCTGCAAGCATCAACAAGTTGTCACATCATAATGGGTGTTATAAATCATTCCAGTATTATAAAAGCACAGTTTGCATCGACATTCCTTATCTAAATATTTTTATATACTTACAATTATTCTAAACACCTTTACCAAATATTTATAACACATAAAGATTGTGGTTTTGGAAAATGACGGAACCTATGTCAAAACAAAAGTCACCTGTGTAAAAAATAAAAAAAAATAAAGAAAAACAACAGGACAGTTCTGGTATGATACAAAATTTATGGATCTTTGTTAGTTACCACATCCAATCCACTCTGGTAACTTGTTTCTGTAGAAGTACACCATAAAAGTCCCAAGTTCACTCAGGATTGTTATGGGAAAGGGGAGTAGCTCGCTTCCTGTACATTCAACACGCCTGGGATTCTTCAATGACTTTGACCTAGAAATTAATATAGGAAAGTTCATTGAATTTTCACTTCATTGAAGTAATGTTAATTTCTCATCATCTTCAATTGGCATGACTTTAAGCAACATGAATGGATTTTGCACCCAGGATTTTTTTTTCTCCAACAGAAGTAAAGAGTCCAAATATACAGAATGGAAAACATATAAATGCTTGTTAATGTAAATGAATATTTTCTCTAGTTCAGGATCTACAAGGTTGAACCTAGAGGTTTTATAATATAGGGAATGTATTTACTAACAAAATGACTATTAGCCCTCTGCTCCATGGAGTTAGTTACAAGAAGACAATACATTCAGCATCTTCACAGACTATGATTATATTAGCAATTACACATTATTACAATTAATGTACATATCAGCTTGTTTCCTGCTATAAACACTCTCAAGGCTGATGATGATGAATGTATTTTGGGAAAACATAACCTCCAACATTATAGTTTAAATTCTTCTAAATTAAACTACAGGATAAACGGCTATCACAAAGTTATTAACGTGAATAATATATCCCCAAACAAAATACATTCTACTTATTGGCACTTCATGATAGGCCAATCGCAGAAACTGGTATTCTTATCGCAAGATGCAGAAGTGAACATAATTAAAGCGTACCTGGAACATGCAGAAAGCTGTAATGATGTCTGTCAGCATAGTAAGTTAGCGGCGGTCGAGCGGAAACAGTAAAATTTTAGTCGTTATCTCACACACGCACCTAAATAAACGGTTTAAGTACAAATTAAGAACTCACTGTGCTGGTTGATGAGCATGCGGATGCTGATGCGCGACATGTAGAATCGGTCCAGAAAGTACTGGATGCTGTTCTCTACCTGGTGGTCTATTTTATGAGACTCCTTCAGTTCTAACACACCCTGTGCCATTGTTTGCACCACGTCTGTGTGGCGGTTTCTTATCTTTACCAATCCCTGACAGAACCTGAAACAAAAGCCACAGAATATCCCTTAAATGGGTAACTTTTTCTCTGTTCTGACCAGCCATTTGTGGTATCCTAAAAAGGGCTCTTTCTTATTGGCCTGGACATGGCTTCGCCTCTCCTCCTCATCCCATGGCTTCTTGAATATACAAAGAACAAATTTAAACTCCAATTTGTATGAGTAATATTAAAAATCATGCTGTACCTTTTTCCTGAAAATGTTTATGAGCAAAGAATGCCTCTCAGGGTATCAACTGTGATTGCACTTTACCTGTCCAACACTTCGTCACTGGCATCTGTCTTCTCATACTCCAATATCTCCTCAAAACTGCGCACATACCAGTCGTTGACAAGGTTGACACTTGGCATGCGCAACAAATTGTCTGGCAACAGCCGTATCTCCTTCATGATGTTGGCTAACCTAACTGGTAGTTCCTTCCTCAGGAACACAAATGACTTGTGCTGACATGCGCTCAGTCCTGCCAATATAAGTAACAACGAGTACGTTAGAATGGTTCAGGACACAACGTTACAGATCACTAAGTTACAATTTGAACACACGGGGACATTCTGGGCATGTCTGGGTCTTGGGTGTGGATTTGGAAGGAAAATGTATTCAGACATAGTGATGAGCAACATTTTAATTTGGTCCAGGCTATAACCGAAGCTGCCACCAAATATGCTCAAAACATTTCAGCTGAAATGTCACCAGTTTGGTATAAAATGTATAAACATGTTAAAAACCCATTAAAATCTGTACATATGCTTTAAAGATTCACATTCTACCTGTAATGGTTCAAGAATCATCACTGTCATATTCTATTACGTCTTGTACCAAACAGCTGCTTATTATGTGTTCTTTCGAAGGATGTGCTTTAAATTAACACGCATGGGGCTGACTACGCCTGCCCATATTTCAACTTGAGAAATGCTAGACGGACTTGGACAAAATTTGGTATGGACGTTATGCCACCGGGGTCTAGCCTCAAATCGCACTGTTCAGTTACCTAAAATCGGCTATAGCAGTGTAGCGGACGAACGAACTTCTGAGGTGGGATCTACACTTGCGTTACAATGAAGAATGGTTATCGAGTTTTGGAAAATATAAAATTTCCTGGGCGTTGAAAACACTCCAATAAGACCCCCTCATGAGGGGTTCCCAAATTTTCAGTAATTACCCCACCGGTACAACAGTTTTGTACGAAAACATTGTTAAGTTACAATACATTCGTAACTTTGCCCTACTTCAAGGCTTTGAAAGTTTATCTTTAAAAGGAGTCATGACAAATAAGGACAATACATTCGTAACTTTGCCCTACTTAAAGGCTTTGAAAGTTTATCTTTAAAGAGGAGTCATGACAAATAAGACGTCACGTAGCCTCGTTTGCAAATACTTGTACTCTTACGTGCGTTTACTGATAATTATATTTAACAATCAATAACTGAAATCCGTGACGTCATGAAAAAGTCACACGCCCAGGGACGAGGCAAACAATGCTAATTATTACGACCATGTGCCATATCACAAACATGAGAACTTTGACTTGTAGTCTCAAGAAGTCACAATCTAATAAACCACTTTGGTCTTCTTTATATTTATTTTCACACCACTTGAACTTTAATTACTATGACGTCCGTATATCAGCAGAGAAGGCGTGGTTAGACTCTGGGCGGTCCCGGGCCATGTCCAAAGTCTTTTTTGATTGCCTACGGCGTCATAGCATTTCACGTAGAGGTAGCCATGTCTAACATTCGTGACGTAACGTGAGGGAAATTGTATATAGTACGCGGAGCATAAACATGAACATAAATTTGTGGTATTTGAGAACAGATTACCGTGGGAAAAATTTATACCCGCTGGAAAAAAAATTTCATAATGTGTACTCTGCACCAGATATTATTAGACTGATTAATTAAATAATGAGATAACTGGGTTATGTGGCGCGCATGGCGAAGATGGATACAAAATATCGGTCAGAAACTTTGAAGCGAATAGACTCGTGGAATGCCCTGGCGTAGATGGGGAGGATAATATTAAAATGTATCTAAAGGAAGGAGGGTCAGAGGTTGTGGATTTGATTAATCTGGCTTAAGATATGAACGGATGATGGGATTTTGTGAACTTACGAATATCGAAGTTCTAAAACAAGCCTGCTACGTAGTGTCTCAGCTGACTTATTGTCTAATCTTATCACACATGCCTTTGTGAAAGGACAAAAAATAATGAAATGTTGCCCCATTGCAGCGTTGTTATCAATTGTAATACGTAGTTTCGATTGCCCATGAACTATAGATCGTCTGTAAGTAGCATGAACCTGGTTTGTCTTCTCCAACTTCGTCGTATTCGAAAGAAGAAAAAAGTTCCTGGCGCAATTTCAAGGTCAAAACGACGAGGGGCTTGTCTTACTCAGTCCCTCCGTCCACCGCGGTCGACCTTGAACTCACGACGTCTCATCAATAACAGACGGAGCCTTATCTCGTCTCTAAAGCTCAGTGGTTAATATATATGCCATGTGTTTTCATTAACTTTTTATATTGTCCACGAAGTGTATTTGTATTTCGTAGGATTCTCGCTGTAAACCGAGATTATTTCCTTAAACAGCGTTAACCAGCTGATCTTCGTAATGGTGAAGTCCTGTGTTTTCTTCGCGGTACGGTCTGAATTTGTATTTAGACGAGATGCGGATTCATAGGGTTAACCAGTTGATCTTTGTAATGGTGAAGAGTTGTGTTTTCTTCGCGGTACGGACTGAATTCTTTAATATTATTTAGACGAGCTTAGGCTTCAAAGGGTTAACCAGCTGATCTTCGTAATGGTGAAGTGAAGTGTTTTCTTCGCGGTACGGGCTGAATTCTTAAATATTATTTAGACGAGCGTAGGCTTCAAAGGGTTAAATGACCAATTTGCCTTGAGTCATATGTAGACATTTCTTATATGTTCGAAATCTTGCGTAATTTTTACAGTATAATTATGAAGTACTACATTTATTCCAAGAATTTTTAGACGTGGTGAAAATTCATGCATGTATGTTGTTATTTGTAGATTATTTTACGACGCACTCAGAAGCTCAGACAGATGATACATTTTTATGAATTGGAAAGGAGGTGGTAATATCCCAGAATTATCCTGAAAAGGCTGAGAAAAACCACGAAAACATGTCTGCAATGGACTGGACATCAAGGCGAATAACAGATGAATGTGTGACGTTTCTAATAAAAAATTTGACGGCCTTATAACACAATCGTCGAGGTGAAAGTAAAGTTTGTAAACAATCAGAACGACACGTATCCATGTAACTAGGGTCCAGTCACTGAGCCGAGAGGAGTGGATGGTATCTGACACACTGACAGCAGTTCAGAGTTTATAAGATCCACTCCATGACGATAGCTGGAGCACAGCCTGTCACAGAAACATTGCGCTTGTCAACAACTAGTAGCCACAATACTCAAACACACTATAACTGCATATAAATTTGATTTTTGAGGCAGCTCAGCTGAAGACGTGGGTTAGAAAAGCCAGACAATTATATTTATCCTACCATCTCTCATACAAAGTCATGGTAGTTGATACAGCGTCGTAAAATAACAAAAATCAGCGCCCCCTTGACAATGTGGGAAAGAGCCACGTGGTTGTACACCCCTAAGTAGTCCAAGCAGCTGCTTTGAATTGGGGGAGGAGGTGGCTGTCTGGGTAGTTGGTCCCTTGGAACAATCGACCTTTGAGCTCAGCCATAACTGAGCTGTAACATTCAAGCCGACTGAGAGCGATGGAATATTCTAACACGATCGACTGTATCAGTACGGATTGCATTTCAAAAATGTCTGAAACGTCGGTTAGAGGAAGTATCCGAAACGTCGGAAATTCATTCAATACTGAAACGGGCTACAGTCCGGGAATGGCATTAGGAAGCGCCTCTGAAACGTCGGACTTCGAGGTTCTACAACCCAGAAGTCCGCCATCTTAATTCTCACACTCGTCGCCTTGAGAATCTGAAATCTTACGGTGTATTGTTTATTCGTGAACTCGGGCGTCATTGCTTCCGCAAGATTAGGGTTCAGACGTCAAAACTGAAGCAACACAAATCTTGTGCTGACGTCATTGGACAAGTCACACAACGAGCTGACAAAATCTTTTACAACTCTGTCATCGCTGATGTCGAATGAGGGGCATTTCTGCTTTAAATAGCTTGCGGAAAAAGGAAAACGAGAGAAAAGCAAAAAAAAAAAAATACCCACAACAAATTTCGAAAATCCAGTTTTCCTTTCGGTAAAAATAAGATCAGTTGTCCCTGTGCTAGGCAGTCGTGGAGGTAATTAGCATATGAACAGTCGATGTTTTCCCTCAATGATTTTGCATGTAACAACTTCTCATGACTAGAAGCACAAACGTAAAATTTATTTTATTTCAAGTATTCAAAATGGCAGCCTTCCACAATGACGCAAACTTTTCAGCCTGCGATAACGACCAGCGTATCTTAACTTTTGCATCACCCTGTATAACATTCTTAGGTGTTCACATTTAACCGCTCTGTTCTCAAGGCGGTAGAAATGTCGATGATGGTGTTCTGGGTCGTAACACTGTATGGACGTGCAGGTAGATGGTCAATGTTTTGGAGGAACATGCCGTCTACATCTACGACGTTTAAAACTTTTGTTCGAAATATTTTCGATAATTTGGTGCGCACTATATGCCACAGGACGTGACCCCAATTTCTCACCCCTGAGGCGGGGGTCTGTAATTCCGCGGTGGTCTAGCGGTTAGAACGCTGGCCTTGTAATCCTGGGGTCTCGGGTTCGAATTTATAACTTGTGTTGGGCAGGGCCGTGGTCTAGGCAACACGGAGTTTTCCTCCGTGGCATCCCAACAATTACTCCATTCACACACAGAAGAAGGCAATGGCAAACCACTTCTGGATCATCTGCCAAGAACGTGTATGAACAGGTCCCAGTCCGAGAAAAGGATGGAAGGATCCTGTTCATATGGACCTGTCGTCAGACAGAACACTAAATAATAATAATAATAAATACACATTAGGGGGGCAAAACATGCAGTTACAATGAAATGAAGTGTGTGGCTTATAGTTCGATTCCAGACCACTAAAGCTTGAATAATATAAACGAAATGTTTTACTGTAAAACGCAATTGCGTTAAATGTAGTCTTTCACTACTCTACATTAACTTCCAACTCTAAATTATTCGGTTTCAATGTTTGGGAAAAAAAACAACTCACGGTTCACGAAAATGTGCAATGTCATTACTTTAAAGGAGAACCGGTGTGTTCAATTCTGTATGTATTCGTATTACGTAAGATAGTGCAAGTTCTTATGTAGGTTACGGACAATCAATACGTACACCTGTCTGTTGTGATTTATATAATACATAAAATACCGACAAATAATTGTTCATACTAACAACATTTAGGAGTAAACATTAGTGACAGACAAACATTACAATAATTTAAATTACATTCTAAAACGTCGCAACAAAAGAATGTAAATAAATATTTTTAAAAAAAATTATTCAATTCTAAACTCTTCAACGTGTAATTAATGCTCTAAAGCCCAATGGTAACTATATATACCACCTGATTCAATAATGAATAATTTCATTTTGTATAAATGAGTTTCGTGTGATTCTCGCTGTAAACAGCGATCATTTCCTTAAACAGCGTCAACGAGTTTATCTTCGTAATGGTGAAGTCTTGTGTTTTCTTCGCGGTACGAACTGAATTCTTAAATATTATTTAGACGAGCGTAGGCTTCAAGGCGTTAAAGGAAAACGGAAATATTCTGGCTTGCAGAAGTTTCAGATCGAATCTGCCAATGAACGTCACGGAACAAAATCTCACTGGTGAAATACTGTCCAATACGTAGAAACGCATTTGAATACAAATGTTTTCAAACCTAAAACCCAAACTCGTGATGTACCGGTTGAGGAATTGTCTGGTATCAGAATCTCAATTTTACCCTCAGACGAGCTTCGTATTTTCCAATACGACCCTGAAAATGTTGCGCACACCTCGCATAATTTTAGGACACAGATGCGCCTGCAAGGGGCTGATTAGACCGCCCACAACACACGTGTGCTGAGGGTGGAAATAATTGGCAGGGGTATCGAAAAGTTAATGAGGTTCCGAAGTGGGGAATGCTGCGTGCGAGTTTTAAAGGGTTAAACAGAATAGAAAATATTTACATACCAATTGTAAAACACTTACTGGACAGTTTACAAATTTAATAAACAGTTGTCGGTGGAAAAAAATATAT